GCCCGGGACAGGCCGCGGCGGGCGGCTCGGGCCTGTCGGGCTCCCTTCAGGCGGCGCGGGGCGGGCGCGGGGGCCGCGGCGGCGGCGGCGTTCCACACGGGCCGGGGGGAGAGGCCATCGGAGAGGGGCGGGCGGCCGGGCCGAGGGGGCGGGCCCAGGCGCCGCGCGGCCCGGGACCCGCGGGAGGGCCGCCGCCGTGCGCCGGGCGCTCGGTCACGCTCGCGCCGCTCGCTCCCTGCTCCTGCAGCGGTGGCGGCGGCAGCGAAAAGACACTCTCGGCGGCGACAGGGCGCGGGGGAAGGAGGGGGCGCCGCCGCCTCCGCTCCAATGAGGGGCGGGGAGGGAGCGGGGCGGGGAGGAAGCGCGGCCTCCCTCGCCGGGGCCGGGACGTCAGTGCGCACGCGCGGCCGATTTCAAATCCTCACTAGACACCGCCGCCTTGGTTACCGCGCCTGCGCAGTGGGGCGCTCCCCCGGAGGGCACCGCGTCGGAAGGAGACGCGACTGGGAGGGGCTGGAGGGGCGGCGGCGGCGGCGGCGACGGCGGCGTGGGTCCTTCTAGACTAGACTTGGCTGCGGTGGGGCGAGGAAGAAGTGCGGGGGCCGCTGCGCCGCCGCCTTCGCCCCGGCTTCCTCCGCTGGCCCCGCCTCCTGCCGCCGGGAGCAGGCCTAGGCGTGAAGACATGCGCGCTGGGACCGGGGTCCGCGGCAGGCGCCCGGTCGCGCTGCGCGTGCGCAGAGATGAGGCGGCGCCGGCGCCGCCGCCGCCGCTGCGGCTGGGTGGAAGTTTCCGCACCGCCGGCCGAGGTCTGGGATCCCGCCCCGGGCCTGGCCCGGCGGCCGCCAGCTCGCGGTACGTGTGGGCCGGGCCAGCACGGACTGCGGTCCGGCCGCTCTCCCAGGAAAAGGACAAAAGTGCCCCAAGCTCCCTGCTGTCCAACCTCAGGGGCCCGTGCGCAGCCGGTCGCGCTGCGGTCACTCGTGCCCGCGCCCCCCCCCCCCCAGGTGCTCGCCCGCGTCCTCCCGGAGGAGCGGGGTCGCTCACCCGCTGCCGGGGCGGCGCTGCCGGCTAAGCTGCTGCCCCGGCCGGAGCAGGACCCTCCTTGGTGGGTCTTCTTACAGGCATTTTTGTTACCTTTTTAAAAGTGATTTCTATGTATAGAATGAGGTTAAAACTTTACAGTTAGCTCGCTGGCGCGACTTACGGAGGCCGACTCAGCAGTGCTGCCCATCAGAGCAGCGGCCCACGTGCTTGGGTGTCTGGGCTCGCGGCTGGCACAAGGTTGGCAGGACTCCATAGCGATCCTGTCCACTGGGCGAGTCCCCTGGTGTCCAGAGAATGCCCCAAGCCCGGATCGACAATGGTGTTGTTAGGACTATGCCGCTAACCACACGTTCTGTGAAGTCCAGAGCAAATGCCAGAGTGTCATTATGTAAACCTGCGTGTGCCCCATGAGCCTAGCCAGGGTGATGGACACCGCGGCCCCTCCAGTGCCCAGGCCCCAGAGGGAGCCCCCGCCTGCCCTGGTCCCTGCCCAGCGGATGCACTCCCTGGCCAGGCAACTTAAGGAAGCTCAGGGCTTGGGGCCAGCGTTCATTTTAAACATTGAAACAAACTCTTTCAATGTGCTCTCCGGCTTCACTGTATCATGGGTGAGTACACGTTACTAAGCGCTTGACACTTCAAGACATTGTAACAACGATCCGTGTTTTGCCTACTAAGGCTTTTTGGCAAACGGTAACAAAACTACAAATGACTGTTTTGGTTCAGGCGTTTTGTACTGTACATGTGGATATTAGAGCAATTATTAGAACGTGTGCATTAAATAAACTGGAGAAAATCACACACAAACCAGTCAAAACAGTGGTTACTCTGGATCTTCCAGTGCCTAGGGTCAAAATCCCTGGGGTCATCCCAGCCTCCCCTCTCCATAACCAACAGAAATACCCAAAACCCAACAGCTACCCCACACTCCCACCTTCTCACCTATAGCCCTTTCAAGCCACCACTATTTCTAGCATATTTTAAAACAGTGCCTCCTAGCTAGTTTCCCACATTCCATTCTTGCCCTCTTTGGCATTTTCCCCACAGAGGAGCTTGTGAGTGATACTTAAAAAAAAAAAAAAAAAGTCAGGTTATGTCATTCTCCTGCTCAAAACTCTCCAGTGGCTTCCTTTCTCAAACTCAGGCTTAATATGACCTGCAAGTCCCTCCACTGTCTGGTCCTTCTCCCTTTTTCTCCCACTTCATCTTCCAGCTCATCCCCTAACCCAGCCTGCTCCAGCCAGAAGCATAAGCAGGCACAGATGGGCCTCAGGGCCTTCGCACTTGCTGTTCTAGCTGCTTGGATGCTCCTCCCCCACATACCCACGTGGGTGACACCTTACCCACTCTCACACATTAGTAAGGATGTTATTCTATCTAAACTACAAACTTAACCCTCAACACTCCCCACTTCCATTCCCTGCTTTATTGTTCTCTTAGCATTTATCTCCGTTGGTTTCCTAGGACCACGAACTACGTGGCTTATAACAGCAGAAATGTATTCTCTTTCTTTCTCTAGAGCTTTAATGCCCGAAATCAAGGTGTTGGCAGGGCCGTGCTCTCTCTCCGAGGTCTCTAGGGGAGGATCTGCTCCATAACTTTCTCTTAGCTTCTGCTGTTTTCCTTGGCCTTCTTTGGCCTGTAGGTGCCTCACTCCATTCTTTGCTTCCATCATTGCATGCAGCTTTCCCCATGTCTGTCTCCTCTTCTTGTCATACTGCATTAGGGTTCACCCTAATGGCCTCGTGTTCCCTTGATGACATCTGCCGAGACCCTATTTCCAAATAAGGCTAATATTCTATTGATATCCTGGGTTAAGACTTGAAATTCATACGGTGGGAGGGGGCGGGGAGCACAATTCAATCCACTGTGCCCTCTCATGAATTGTATTAACCTTGCTTATCATCTGTGTCCTCTCACCCCATTAGAATCTAAGTTCTACAAGGAGGGGGCTTTTTATCTGTACTTTTCCCTGCTGTGTGCGACCTTGAAGACTGTGACTGGCACATGGTAGGTCCTGGGTGGACATTGGTGAAATGACCAACAGTCGGTTGACCAACTCAATGGGAATGAAAGCCTTGCCTGGCTTCCAGGATCTATCCACAGATTGCTATTTACTTCTTTCCAACATTTTAAGTTTGTTTTTCCCTATGGCCTCCTGCTCTATCTTTGCAGCTTGTCTCTAGGTAATCCCTCTAACTTGATTCATCAGCCATAGCCAACTGTTTATAATTAGATCCAGGGTTTCATTATGTACGTATTTGATCATAGGTTTTTATGTAAATTAGAAGCAATATGTTTCTTTCTGCAAAAAAAGAATTAATACTAAGTCAAATGTAGTTCCTGTTGCAGTCCCTGTGACTCTGGGCAGAGGAGGTCTTTCTCACTGCTTATCAGTTTTCACAGATAAGCCCAGCTTTTTCCTTCTGTGGCCAAAACCAGCTCTTCTCTCTCTCTCTCCTGATGTTAGAGGAGGGGTAATATTAGAGATTATACTACGGTTTTAGCGATTCATTCTCATGAACAAATAGTTTCCGAAGCTTTGACTACCACGGACTTCCTGGTCCAGAATCAGATATGCTGGTTAAAAGGCAGATAGCCAGGGCTAACCCGATCTGAAGCTTACGCAGAGTGAGGTCCGGGAATCTGTATCTTAAGTAAATCCCCCGGGCAATTTCAAGCACAGTAAAGCTTGAAAATTTTTGCCTAATTCAGTGTTCCCAAACTCAATTGCTCACAGGAACTGAATAGGTTATGTAAGTAACTGAAAAAAATCAGGGTGTGTGTGCATTAGTCAGCTACTGCGGGCTAACAAACCACTCCCAAACACAGAGGCTCAAAGTGTTTAGTATTGCTCACAAGTCTGCAGATCAACTGTGTGGTTCTGCTGAGCTGTGTCAGACACAGCGGATCTTGGCTTACAGATCACTTCTAGGCTCCAGTCAGCTAGCAGGTGAGCTGAGGCTGGGTGGTCTAGAGTTGGGCCACACTCACGTGGCAGGCAGTCGGCTGGCTGGCAGCTGGGACACCAGGGTTGACTGGCCCATGTGTTTCTCATTATCCAGCAGGCTAGCCCCAGCTTGTTCTCAGGGCGGCTGAACAGGGTTTCAAGAAAGCGAGCAGACATGCCTGAAGTAAGAACTGGCACGCCTTCATTTCCTCACCATTCTGTGAGCCCAAGAAAGTGATGAAGCACTGACAAGATTCAAGAGGTGGGGAAATAGCCCCCACCTCCTGATGGAAGAAGCCGCAGTCACAGTGCAGGGGGCGTGGGATGCTGGGAGGAGAATAACGGGGGCCCCACTGTGACCTGAATGAGGAGTGGTGGGAACTGTAGGGTCCGGGAGAGCACCTGCCTGGTGTGAAGGAGTGTAAGGGCACTCCCCCACAGCTAGCAGGAATGCAGGACCCTCCCAGGTGGCCAGCGATGTCAATTCTCATGAGACCTTGGACATGCAGACGTGAGCCTGAATTCTCCTGGTTTGAAATGTCAACCTCTAGGCAGATGCTGCTGGTTGCCCACGCAAGTTCTTTGTTCCCACTGCACCTTTCTGCTCTGGCTGGCAGAGCCCTGGTCCTGCTCAGGTATTTGCATGGCCACGTATGCAGAAAGGGTCTCTGTCGCTCCCGGTGCTGTCATTCTGTCTGCCGGTACCAACATAAGCTCCATACACACCTCCATTCTAGAGAAGAAGGCTGCCAGGACCCTCTTGGGAAAGTCTTCCAGGTGAAGAAGAAGAGACCTACCAGAATACGCTCCCTGTGTCACCAGCGGACACAGTTCTATGTGCGTAGGATGCCTGGTACCACTGCAGCCACCTTGAGACCAGAGGAGAGATGGGACCAGTGCCCTGGGAACCAGGACAAATATGGGAAAGATGGCCCCAAACCCCAGCAATACTACACCATAGCCCCTTATCCAGCCCCCCTCCCCCCGCCCCGGCATCTGCAGTGATAACCGCTCCCGAATTGCTTCGTGTTCTGGGCAGGTCACTGTCATTTGCTGCAGAAAGCATCCGGTACTGCAACCAATTCAGAAAATGCTAACGTACCATGGAGGGCAGCCTGTAAGGCTCTGTGAGTAATGTCTACCTTGTGGGTAATCTCTGGTCACCAGAAGGCAAATAATATGATGGGGTGCAGCAGGTGGTGCCCTACTGATTCTGTGTTCATTCGTGAAGGAAGTTTTCCTGCCTGCCTGCAAGGCGGATGCTGAGCTCTTTGAAAGTTTCAGGCACCAGTGCCACTCGTTAAAGGAAATCTTGAGAGTGAGTTTTTCTGCAACACTATCTTCCTTTTATCCTTAATTATGGAAGGTTTCAAACTTGACAACATTGGAGAGACTATATCGAACCCCTTCAGTAACTATCAACTCAAGGTCAAACTTGTTCACCAGTGTCCTCTCCTGCTTTCTCCTTCTCCAATCATTTTGAAGCAAATCCCTGATAATATGTCCTTTCACCCACAAATAAGTCAGTATGCATTAGTAAGTTATAAGCATATGTGTTTTGAAACATAACTACAATATTTCCACATCAAAGTAGTACTAATGTCTTACTTAATATCACCAAATATCTGATCCATAATAAATATCTTTGATTATCTTATAAAATTTTTTATTGGTGATTTTGTCAAAAAAA